TTCAAATTTGAATTTGTTTGAAACAGAATGGATTATACTGTTTAATTTATGGGAACTCCCTATAAATTCTTTTTGCAATAGAATTAATGTTTCTTCTCCGTGTAAAAATCGGGTTACAGAAAATTTTGTGAAAGATCTGAAAATAAAATTTCCACAAGTATTTTCAGAAGGTCTTGAATGTTGCAAAAAGGCGAAGGCAGAATTTGAAGTGAAGGAAAATGTAAAACCTATTTTCAAGCGAAAATTGAAATGTGCCATTTGGTGTTTTGGAACAGACTGACAAGGAATTGGAACGGCTTGAAAATTTAGGAGTTATTTCACGCATTGAATTTTCAGAGTGGGCCTGCCCTGTTGTATATGTTAAGAAAAAGAATGATCAAATTCGGATATGTGTCGATTTCTCTACGGATCTAAATGATTGCTTAAAAGACCACACATATCCTTTGCCTTCACCAGAAGACATTTTTGCAAGTTTAAGTGGAGGAAAAACATTCTCTAAATTGGATTTATCGGATGCCTATCTCCAAGTGAAAGTGGACGAGGAATGTTCTAAATTGTTGACTATCAATACACACAAGGGTTTATACAAATTTAACCGTTTGCCGTTTGGTTTGAAAGTATCGCCTAGTATTTTTCAGCAAATTATGGACACTGCGCTGGCAGGGTTGGACTTCACCATTGCATATCTTGATGATATTTTGATAAAAAGTAAAGATCGAAATGAACATTTGGAACATATTAATAAGGTTTTTGAAAAAATTGAAGAATATGGATTCAAACTTGCAGCTGAAAAATCTGAATTTTTTATGAGTGAAATTAAGTTTTTGGGGCAGATAATAGACTCTGATGGAAGAAGACCAGATCCGGCGAGGGCAGAAGCGATCAAAAGCATGCGATCTCCCAAAAATGTAGTAACGCTACAAGCGTTCTTAGGACTTGCTAACTATTATGGGATATATATTCCTCATTTGTACAGCCTTACGGCTCCATTAAATAAATTGCTTAAAAAGGGAGCAAAGTGGGAATGGTCAGAAGTGTGTCAGAAGGCGTTTGACAAAATAAAGAATATTTTGACGTCGGAATTATCACTAACACATTATGACCCTAAACAGGAAATTATAGTGGCATCGGACGCAAGCGAGTACGGAATAGGTGCGGTAATTTTGCATAAATTCAGAGACGGCAATACGAAGCCAGTGGCGCATGCATCAAGGACATTATTACCCGCAGAAAAGAAGTACTCTCAAATTGAGAAAGAAAGCTTAGCTATCATCTATGCTTGTAAAAAATTCCATAAGTACATACATGGAAGAAGGTTTATATTGCAGACCGACCATCGCCCGCTGCTTTCAATCTATGGTTCGAAGAAGGGTATACCTACTCATACGGCAAACCGTTTACAACGATGGGGAACCATTTTGTTGAATTATAATTTCAAAATGGAATTTTTATCGTCTAAAAAATCAAGCCATGCTGATGGTTTATCTAGACTGATCCCAACGTCTTCGGAACCGCTAGAAGATACGGTGATAGCGTCGTTATAAGCAGAAAATGAATTGGTGGAAGTAATGTATAACACAGTAAAAGAATTACCGGTGACATTAGATGAAATAAAATTAAAATCAGAAAATGACATTTTTATTAAAAAAATTAAAGAAGTTGTAACTTCAGAAAAGTATAAAACTTCTTCACCAGCATATTCAATATGTGATGATGTGCTGTTATATGCTGGAAGGGTCGTGATACCGGTTGTACTACAAAAGCGGATGTTGAAGGAATTTCATCAGGCGCATCCTGGTATTGGACGTATGAAAGCCCTGATGAGGAGTTACGTTTATTGGCCAAATATGGACAAAGACATTGAACAGGTAGTTAAAACTTGTAAAGGGTGTCAAATGGCAGCGAAAGCATCGCCAGTAAAATACACACCATGGCCAAAAACAGACGTTCCATGGACCAGACTCCACATAGATTATGCTGGACCCATGAATGGTAAATTTTACTTGATAGTTGTGGATAGTTATTCCAAGTGGCCTGAGGATTTTAAGTGCAAAAGACCAACTGCTTCTGTAACAAAAGATTTTCTTACAGAACTGTTTGCGCGGTTTGGAGTACCAGAAAAAATTGTCACCGACAATGGAACTCAATTCACAGGAAGTGAATTTAAGACGTTTTGTAAGACTCTGGGAATTGACCACATCACGACTTCACCGTACCAACCTATATCAAATGGACAGGCTGAACGGTTTGTTGATACGTTCAAGAGAGCCCTTAAAAAAACAAATGGTACTAATACAGATGATGGTAATATACAGCAGTTTTTAAGTATATACAGAATAACACCAAATCCAAACGCAATATCAGGGATGTCTGCAGCTGAACTGATGTTTGCTAGAAAAATTAGATCTGTGTTCAATAGGCTGCTGCCGGAAAGAAAAAAGAGTTATCAGAACAAAACGCACCAGGAAAATATGAAATATTTCAGGCCGGGAGATAAAGTTTTTTTTAAAAATTACAAAAATGGGAAGGAATTTTGGCAAGATGGAGTGGTAACGCAAAGAACTGGTAAAATGTTGTACATGATAAGAAGTAAAAAATGGACGCACAAAAGACATTTAAACCAATTAAGGAGAAGAAACATGGAAGAAATATGTAAAGAAAATGAAGAACCAATGGAGGTATTATATGATTTATTTGATATACCGACTCCACCATTGCCTGAAACAGTTGTTCAAAGAAGGACAAGCAAAAGAAAAAGAACAAGGGTGGAACGTTTAAGTCCAGATCCCAAAAGGAAAGATATTAATTCCTCCGGAATTAATCTCAAGGGGGAGGTGTTGTGTAGGAAACCTACCACCCCTCTTGAAGATGAACTTGTCTACAAACAAAGACGTTAAATAGTGGCATGTCAAAAGACAGACAGAGTCGGAGAAGTTCTTGGCTGAGCTAGTTATGGACTACTCAGGCGATTTCTGTACTTACTTACCAACCGAATAAACCCCTTTTTATTTGCTACGTGTTATTTGGCGTTTGTCTCTACTAACCCCAAATCAACATCATAACAATTATTGATATGGATATGCTTATTATTGATATGTTTGATATTGATATGTTTATTATTGATATGTTTATTATTGATATGTTTATTATTGATATGCTTATTATTGATATGTTTATTATTGATATATTTGATATTGATATGCTTATTATTGATATGTTTATTATTGATATGTTTGATATTGAAATATTTGTTATTGATATATTTATTATTGACATGTCTATTATTGATCTGTTTATTATTGATATGTTTGTCATTGATATGTTTGTTATTGATATGTTTCTTATTGATATGTTTGTCATTGATATGTTTTATTGATATGTTTATTATTGATATGCTTATTATTGATATATTTGATATTGATATGTTTATTATTGATATGTTTATTATTGATATATTTGATATTGATATGCTTATTATTGATATGTTTATTATTGATATATTTGATATTGATATGCTTATTATTGATATGTTTATTATTGATATATTTGATATTGATATGCTTATTATTGATATGTTTATTATTGATATATTTGATATTGATATGCTTATTATTGATATGTTTATTATTGATATATTTGATATTGATATGCTTATTATTGATCTGTTATTGATATGATTTGTGCGATCGTTTTGGTTTTCATTACTGTGTACCTACTTTTGCAACCAAACAAAAAAGAACTAAATGCTATATCTATAATATTTTAAATGTGGTGATTGAAATTTCCACGGTGTTAATGCTGTGATAATCCTCTGGATAATTGATAAATGCTTTTGAATATCTTGCGTTTCACAAATGAAAACTCCGTGGTCTCGAAGCAAACCTAGGCAAAGTTTTACAAAACTGTTTTTTACCGTAATGTTTGATTTACGTTTTGACCAGCAGCTGGACAGCAATGATAAATGTGTGGTCCATAAGAACTGAAATGAAATAAAAAAGAAATATCCATTATCTAAACAGCTGATTGTAACGTTGTCAAGCACTTGACAAATAAGGCATCTGTTTTTGACGCTTAAGTAAAAGAAATATGCAAAAATATCTCAAATAATCGGAATAACTTATCTTGTCAAACATTTGACAAATGAGGAGAAAATATTGTGAACCTGACGAAGGAAATCTAAATCTAAAGAAACGTCATCAAAACCGAAAATTATTGGAACATTACAGATTAATATGTTCAAGGTGTAAGATTAAATATTATGTTTGTTTCTGATCCAAAGAAAAATGAACGAAACTCTCTGTTATACGAAAATCTGAAATATGAAGAAATAATTCCAGCGTTTCTGATAAAAAAATGAAAAAGAAAGGTAGACTTATATACAGGCAATGGTGGCATCCAAAATTTCCAGGAACCAGTTCTATAAAGGCTGGTAATCTTTAAGAACCTATTCTGCTTATTTTCTTTTCAATCTAAGAATGGAAACAAATCATTTTACATAGTATTAAAAAGAATTGAACTATTTTGATAATTTAATAGGAAGCAATAATGAGAGGGTAGAAAAGCAAGATACGTAATAGAGAGAGAGAGAGAGAGAGAGAGAGAGATAGAGAAGAAAGCAAGGAAAAGCAATAGCGAGAGAGAAGAAATGAAAGAAATGTAATATATATATATATATATATATATATATATATATATATATATATATAGAGAGAGAGAGAGAGAGAGATAGATAGAGAGAAGAAAGAAGGGAAAAGAATTGTGAGAGTGTAGAAAAGAAACGTAGACAAGAAGGGAAAGCAATAGTAAGAGAGTAGAAGGAGAGATGTAGAAAAAAGTAAAAGCAATAGTGTGAGTGAAGAAAGAGAGATGTAGAAAAGAAGGGAAAGCAAGAGAGAGAGAGAGAGAGAGAGAGTCGAATAGAATAGTAGAAAAGAGGGGAAAGCAACAGTTAGAGAGTAGAAGGAGAGAAATAGAAACGAATGGAAACCAATTGTGAGAGATTAGAAAAGAAAAGTAGAAATGAAAAGGAGAAAAGAAAGGAAGCCGAGAGTAAGAGTGTAGAAAGAGAGAAGAACAAAAGAAGGAAAAGAAAGAGAGAGAAGAAAAAGAAAAGTAGAAAAAAAAGGAAAGGAATAGAGAGAATAGAAAAGAAAGGAAAGCCACAGTGAGAGAGTAAAAAAATAAAAGAATGGAAAGCAATAGTGAGAGAGTAAAAGCAGAGAAGTAGAAAAGAAGGGAATGTAATAGAGAGAGAGAGAGAGAGAGAGAGAGAGAGAGAGAAGAAGGGAAAGCAATAGAGAGAGTAGAAAAGAAAAGTAGAAAAGAAGGGAAAGCAATATTGGGAGAGTAGAAAAGAAACGAAGGGAAGGTAGTAGCGAGAGAGAGAGAGAGAGAGAGAGAGAATTAGAAAAGATGGAAACCAATCGTGAGAGAGCAGAAAAGAAAAGTAGAAAAGAAAAGTAGAAAAGAAAAGTAGAATAGAAAGGAAGGTAAGAGGGGGAGAGGTGAAGAAGAGAATTAGAAAAGAAGGGAAAGCAATAGTGCGAGAGTAGAAAAGAAAGGAATGTTACATAGAGAGAGAGAGAGAGAGAGAGAGAGAGAGAGAGAGAGAGAGAGAGAGAGAGAGAGAGAGAATTAGAAAAGATGGAAACCAATAATGAAGGAGTAGGAAAGAAAATTAGAAAAGAAAAGTAAAAAAGAAGGTAATAGTGAGAGAGTAAAAGGAGAGAAGTAGAAAAGAAGGGAAAGCAACAGTGAGAGAGTAGAAAAAAATCAAAAAGAATAGAAAGCAATAGCAGTAGAAAAGAAAAGAATGAACAGAGCGAGAGAGAGTAGAAAAGAAGGGTAAGCAAGAGTGAGAGAGTAGAAAAGAAAGGAATGTAAGAGAGAGAGAGAGAGAGAGAGTAGAAAAGATGGGAAAGCAATGGTGAGAGAGTTGAAAAGAAATGAATGTAAGAGAGAGAGACATACACAGGGAGAGTAGTAAAGAATGGAATGCAATAGTTAGAGAGAAGAAAAGAAAGGAATGTAAGAGAGAGAGAGAGAGAGAGAGAGAGAGAGAGAGGAAAAGAAGGGAAAGCAGTAGTCAGAAAGTAGAAGGAGAGTAGAAAATTATGAACAGAAGAAATAACCACGACATGCTACACGTGCACACACACACACACACACACACACACACACACACACACACACACACACACAGGCACACACAGGCACACACATACACACAATGCATAAAATATCAACCTAACACCAATAAAAGCGCATATTTTTGTTTTAAATTATTGTTATACCATAATACCTATTCTATTGTAATAGACTCTCCCACAGATAATAAGTAGTAGTAGCAGTGGCCAGTGGAGCTCAGTGGTGTTGAGTGAGTCAGTCGATGTCGGACATTGAAGTATCAACCATCACAACTAGATTGCTGCGTCATTAACTCTTATTTCAAGTTCCTAACGTTTTGTACATCGAACCTAATTTAGGACGACTTATTGAAATATAAGCCTCCACTGTGAAAACTACTCTACAACACTTATAAAAATAAACAAAATGAGAATTTCAGCAGACAATTGCTGATGACTCCTGATGAAGTGACTGAACAATTACAAAAATATTCTTTTACGAAACTCTGGAGTCGGGGTGCGGAATATAACATCAATCATCTAAGTAACAAATTTTATATTTTTAATAATTACACACACACACACACACACACACACACACACACACACATATATATATATATATATGTATATACCATAGTTATCCATGTATAATATGCCTTCATATACGTTGCTCTAAAATTATGCTGAATTTGTGGGAAAATGCTTCTACTCATGCATAATACGCACCCCTGGTTTGGTAATCAAGCCCTATAAATTGTATCTCTCCAAATTCATTACGGCCAGCATTTCCTACTCTTATTTTGAAAAATGGTTTTAAACAGAATAATATTATTCTAATTTAGTTTTATGATAATTCTTATTTTATTTTAAATTTGTAAGTATTGTTAGGTTCATATGATTGTATTTGACATCCTTATCGGGTCGCAATCGCCAAATGTTAGTGTCAAATCGTCGTATGTTTGTGGTGAGTAGTCATTTCGCAACTGAAATCGACCTATGAAACGGCAATTTTTTCGAGATCTTTTTTGTAGTTGTGCATAATACGCACCCTTAATTTTGCTTATTATTTTTTTGAAATGGATGCGTATTGTACATAGGAAATTACGGTGTATATATATATATATATATATATATATATATATATATATATATATCGATTGAGGTGCATCAATTAAGTGGAAAATGCAATTAGTATAACACAATGCTAGCGATGAACATAAGTAGAAATAAAGAACAAAAGACAGAAAGAGTAAGAGAAATATACATAATAGAATATAGATAGAAAGAAAAAAAGAGAGAGATAAACAGACAGATAGATGAGAGAAAAGAAGATGAGAAAAAGAAAGAGAGAGATATATGTATAAGGAGTAAAACGAGAAGGATAGATAGATAGATAGATAGATAGATAGATAGATTGAGAAATATGAATATAAAATATATTGAGGAATCGAAGTAGAGGCATAGAAAGAGAAAGAGAGAGAGAGAGAGAGAGAGGTAAAAAGAAAAAGAGAAAAATATAGATATAACGAAACAGATAGGATATAGAAAAAGAGAGAAAGAGATATAGACATTCAGAGAGAAATGCAGGTAGATAAGCAGACAAATATAGATAGAGAAAAAGAGAGGCAGAGAAAGAGTAAGATGGAGAGATAGAAAGCGTAATTGTTATAGAAGTGGTGAATAGATTCAAGAGAAAGGAAAAAGTGAGAAAAAAAATGCGATATGATAGTAAACGATATTGTAAACACAGATGTCGGCCATTTTGTTAAATTTAACTCCCGGGAGTGCAATTTACTCACCCATTGTCTTTCTCTTTCCTCATTTAAAAAAAAAAAAATTTTTTTTAACCATTCTCTTTTGATTGCATTCTTATTTACCATCGTTCTAGCATACTTTTCTTATATATGCATCTAATCCTTCATTCTCGTTTCTTTAACATTTTATTTTGTTTTTTCTTTCTTTCTCTCTATTTCGTTTTTGATATAAGTTGTTTCTCCTCGATTTTCTTTCGTCGTTTTTCTTTTCCTTTTTTTTTACCTGCTTTTCCTCACCTCCTTTCTCCTTTTTCTCAATTTTCCTTTTATTTTTTCGGTTTATTCTCTTTTCAACCATTTTCGCTGTAAAACTTTCCCGCCTGTCTATCTTGCCTTCACCATTTTTTTTTCCGGCTTCTGTTATTTCTTTTCAAATGTCGCCGCCTCTATCCCAGTTCTTTCTTCGCAGATATCCTTTCGACAATCGAAAATCCACGAACATATTCAGCTTCCTCTTCGTTCTCTTTTTCCCTGGATCATCTTTCTTTTCTTCCCCCTCCCAGCTGGAAAGCTATGGTGCCTATACTTAGAATGGTTTTAAATATTCTTTGCAAGATTTCATTTCCATTTTCTGATCTTGTCTTGAAAAAATCCATTTCGGTGACATCATTTTTTCCATCGCATCAAACGTCATTATATTACTTGACTCCTTGATTTAAGGTCGCAAATGGAACATTTAACAGGAAAATCAATCAATGTACACTGCGTCCATATATATATATATATATATATATATATATATATAATACACTTAAAATAAAATAAATATCCTATATTCATATTAATATGCTTCTTCTGCATTAATATATATATTTTACATACAGTTTTAAATATATATAGGAATAATTTGTATATGAATGTGCAATATGTAAGTATAGGAAGAGGTTTTGAAAAGTTCTCGGCTCAAAGTCAGAATTATTCTAAATAGCTCCTTTCCAAGCAAGGCAATAAAGCCACCAAGACACAAGGTTTACTGAGTATAAACAAAAGAAAAGGAATAAAAAAGACAGTAGATATCGATTGACATTGCATTGAAATTTGACCGGGATGCACGATAAGTGCGTGAAAAGAACCTGTTAGCATAGAACTTACGGTTACATCTAGCCAATTCAACTGTAAAATTGTAGCTAATCTAGTACTGTGCTTAAATTCGTAAATTCTAGACACCATAGTTCAAAGTTCATCAGAACAATTACCATGGAAGTATTTATAGAAAAGACACAGGGAAGCTACTTTATGGTAGTTGGGAAGTGACTGAGACTGAGATGCCAGGTCAGGACGAATAACATTACAGATTCTTCTTTGGATTTTATTATCTTTAAATATATAGCAAAAAAAAACCAGACCTTATGTAGGAGCAATATTCAAATCATAGACTAATAATAATAATAATAATAATAATAATAATAATAATAATAATAATATATTGCAGCTCAGGACCAACGCCTTGCAATCAGATGCTATCACTGACACATAATCAAGGATGAAGCTAACTCGAAATGCAGTATCTGCGAAAAGTATGATGAAATTGTCGACCATATTATCTCAGGGACTGGCAAAAAAGGAATATACCCACAGACATAACAAAGTAGAGACGTATATACGTTGGAAGATATGTAAGAAGCACAAAATCGAAACCACTGAGAGATGGTATGAGCACCAACCAGACACAGTTACGGCAAATAACGATGTAACTATCCTCTGGTATAGGCCAATTCAAACTGACTGGGAAATAAAAGCCAACAGACCTGATATTACTATAACAGACAAGAAATTCAGGAAGTGTAAGCTTATTGACCTAGCACTATCGTCTGAGAGAAATTCCTCCATTAAAATTGTCGAGAAATTGTCCAAATACAAGGACCTGGACATCGAGATTAACAGGTTGTGAAGGAATGAAGACTGAGACTGTACCAATAGTAATCGGAGCACTGGGTCACGTGAGAAAAGGGATGGACAATTTTAGTAACAGTGTCCCAGATAACATCAACATACAAGTTGCCGAGAAAATCGCTCAGAAGGGACATACCATATACTAAGAAAAGTGCTATCAATTAAATGACAATTATGCTATAGGGCCAAGGACAATAGTTTGGACTCGGCTCTAGAAGATAAAAAGCAGGAAACAACAACAACAATAATAATAATAATAATAATAATAATAATAATGAAGACCGCTCGATGCCGAATAAGTCTGTATGGTAGCTGTGTTTGTTGCGCCTGCTCGAGCACATTTGAATCTGTTCAACATTCGGCGAACCTACCTGTGGATTAGACAGCAAGTATGCTGAGCGGGCCTTAGTTTCGGGACAGAAACCTGTGTAGCGATGACTTGTGGCTTTGCGCGAGCTCAACTCTTAACTAACTTTTTCAACCGGTCTGAATTTCTTCACAAGGGTTGGATCAACATGGGGATGTGGTTTTCAGGCGTTTTTCAATCGCACCGAACGCTGAAATTGCTTTCCCAAACCTATAGCTTTAACAAGTCACCTTCCTGACCAATCGACCATATTGAGATTATAGGCGCGTGGCCCTGTGGTTAGGACGTTCATTTTAGACCATGAGACTGGGAATATATATATATATATATATATATATATATCATGTAAGATAAAAAGTACACGGAAACACACACACATGCACACACACACACACACACACACACACATATATATATATATATATATTGATAAAAATATAGTGTAAATGTACGCTATTTTTATGGGTAAAAGTGCTCAGTATCAGAGATGTAAATATATGCAAATATAAATGTAAATACATTGTGTCTATTAATTTTTTTACTGATTCATTCCAGTTGTCAAATCAGTTTCTTGATGTTAAGATCAAATTCATTAAAGAAGTCACCGTAGTTTTTTTTCTTTTTTAACCCAAATTCCTTCGACCTTTTCATAAAGACAAACATATTGGAACTGTGATAATATCTGTATTCCGTTCGTATAGTGATTTTTAAAAACATGCTGTTATAGTTATTTAAGATTATTTTTTTATTTCAGAATTCTTTTTCTAGAATTTTAAGTTTTGTGTAAAACAAGCGTTTCATTATTAGGGAACAGACCGGAAATTGGTAGAAATGTGTATATTTAGGTGGCATATCTTCATTCAAACAGCTTTCATTGAATAATATAGTCATATTAAATAATATAGTCATATTGAATAATACAGACACTAAATAATAGACATATTGAATAATAGACATATTGAATAAAATATATATTACATATTAAATAATACAGACATATTAAATAATAGACATATTGAATAATATAGACATATTAAATAATATAGACATATTAAATAATATAGAGATATTAAATAATATAGACATTAAATAATAGACACATTGAATAATATAGACATATTGTGTCTACTTATTTACATTCTGATTCTTTCCAGTTGTCTAAACATTTTCTTGATGTTAAGATGAAATTCATTAAGGCGCCGTAGTTTTTAGTGTAGTTTTTTATTTGTATTAATTCTCTCTCTCCTTTTATATATATATATATATATATATATATATATATATATATATATATATATATATAATCATTTATTCGAAATTATAACATTTATTCGAAACGTATAACATAGTGATGATGTTGAATATAGAATAAAGGGTTTTATTCTATATTCAACAGCATCACTTGAGAAGACATCAGAAGTGTTGAAACAAAATGGCTATTTTTGTAGTGATTTTATAACATTTTTATGTTATAATTTTCGAATAAATGTTTATATGATAATAATTATATTTGCTCTACTCTGCATTGAGAACTCTTTTAAGAATTGTATTTGTTGGTTATTGGAATTTATTTCGTATACACCAATCCTATAATTGTATATATATATATATATATATATATATATATATATATATATATATATATATAGTGTCTGCCAAAAAATGTATACACGATTCAGGTAAGAAAAACTTGTCTTTCGTAGTTTTACCTCTGGTGGACCCTAAGAGATGTTACGTATCACCGGAAACCGACTCCATTGGCGGCCCTTAGAGAAGAAATTGAAAATGCATGTGCATCAATCCCACTGGACACTCCGACCAACGTTGCCCAAGCAGTATTTTAACGTACTAATAAATGTCTGGAAGATAAAGGCCACCATTTTGACCATCTCTCGAGATAATAAAATAAAGGAGCCTACGTGTTGAAGTATTTAAAGATGGTCCGGTAGATGTTGGTCCGTTATATAATAACCAAAAATGTTGACATAGGTCAGGTTTACCCTAGATTCAAAAAGTTAAATAGGGGCCTAATTTACACTTGAGTCAGACAGGTAGAGAGAGGTCCGTTTTATAATAGTCCAAAAAGTAGGCTTAGGTCCAGTTTAATCTAGAATTGTGACGTCCCTAAACACAGCCTTCGCTCGCTCCTCGCTGCTTCGTTCGGGTGTCGCTGCTCCAAACGTGACGTCCGCCTGTTTGCGTCAGTCGTGTTGTCTCGTCCTGTGACGACCAACTGGCTTGGTATCGGTCGCGGCACCCAAATGTGACGTTCTAACCTTTTGGTGATTCGGATGGGAATCTGGTTAGATTCGACATCAGCCTCGTCGTTCCCAACTCACTTCCAACGTCTGGTTACCAAAGTAACTGCGTTGATCTCCAGTCTGCCTACCCACGTTGTGAATTGATCTTAGGCAGACGAAATCAATCAGTCGTTGGGGCCGTAATGCAAATTGAGTTCAAACGGGGGTGATATCACACAAATATGCATAAAATAAAATAAAATGAAAACTCAAAAGTTCAAGGTATCAAAAAAAAAAGGATAACAATACTTTATGTCTAGTTGCTGGATACATAGGACTGCGTCTATCTCCCGACCCGTTATATAGATTGTGACAC